TTAGATCGAGTAACGACGTTTCCCATGATTGAAAAAAAATCATCATCTTTCCGTCGAATATGGCCAACCCTGTATATAATATAGGTATTAATCTTTTTTAATTTTTGAAATTGGAAAATGTTTTCCTGGCCAAGTTCTTGAAATATCGTTTTCTTAAAAATAACTTGAATTTGTTTTAAATAACCCTATTCTGGTGTATTAATAAAAAATATAGAATTTATACATTATATCATGAATAATAAGCGTAAGATCGAATTTAGCTTTATAATAATTATTTCATTTATAGCATTGTATCACCTGATGGCTTAATACATTATCCATAAAATCTATAAAACGGGAGCATAATATTATGCGCTGTACGAAAATTATATCCTTCAGTATGTACATCAATATGTTGCATTGATTGCTGTTTAAAGTGTAATACGATCGCACTAAAGACATATTTTCTTCGAACATAAAATCATTGGAGAATTCAACGCCTATTTCATACATCACAAATTTACTTAAAACTTCCTTGGAATTTAACAGAATAAAGATTAAGAGGATACGCAATTCTTGGGTTCTAACCAAATCAGTCATTTCGCAAGGATCCATAAATGAAGATTTCTCTATGAATTCTGTGAAGCATCTTTCATTGTACAGATACTCTAAAGGATTGTCGTCAAAATGCTGCTCCACATAATTTTGTACAACATAATGCAAGTCATTTACTGTTAGCTGAATCAATATTCTTAATACTGACACATACACCCGATACTTTTCTGCATTAGTATGCAGATATGCGAATATATAATGAAGATATTCGAGTATAACGGAAACATCGTAAATTCTCAACAATTCTATCTTTTCGTTGATAAAATCCAATATAGACAAATCCCATTCTTTATAGCGTTTAATCAACTCCCTCATACCATGCGATCTACCATCTGTGATTTTACGACAGAGTTCTTGAAGAGTTAAAACAGATTCTTCGGATTTTCTTGAACCTACAAGTTGTTTCAGATAGAGGAGTAATTTCTCGTTTGTCATGAAAAATTTATTCTGCTTCACAAACTCTATAAAGTAATGGCATTCCATGGCGATGCCTTGTTGTAGTGATATTATAGTGATTTCATCATCTACGGTGTTTTCCCAAACTATATATTCGGAAGGTTCAATGTGCTTAATCTGATTTACAAGCAAATTAGTCAATTTTTGGTCTAATCTTGTTATAATGGATTTTACTTCGTCGACAGGAAGTATGTGATAATAATTCATTTTGTGTTCATTAAAGTTGCCGTACGTAAGTGTGAATGATGCTGCTAGATTATTTTTCCAATAATTTTCAATTTTGCTATGCATGCACTTCCTAATATAGTGAAGCATGTTTTTCACTAATATACCATGTTGCAAATACTTTTCATTGCTGCATGATGTATGAGAAGTATCAAACATAGGATTGACAAGGAAGTCTAACAATTTTTCAAAATATGTTATTAATTGATGAACGCATTCCATCACATTTTGTTCTGATAGTGTACCTAAGTGCAGCCATAAACATTTATAGTACACCTTGCAGATCAGAAGAAAAACAAGGCGTCTGGCTCGTGGAAATTGTAATTCGTTTATGTGTTTAAACGTTGTTTCTAAAATTTGCACACACAGATCCAATGGTATGTGCACAAGCGATTCAACTAATAAGTCTTCGCACTTCAAGTGCCATATTATCTGTATATGGATTACATAAATAAAATATATTAATAATAAAATATATTAACAATATATAAAATTAAACAAAATATGTTAACAATTATATTATAATTTCATAAATAATAACATAAAATATGCAGTAACGATGTACATGTTACAGATAAATATACATATACATATAAATGTAAACAACAATACCTATTTAACCTTGAAAGCAAGTGTGGAAGAATCCTCAAAAGTCAACTTTAAAATTTTTAATGGAAACTCTATTTTTCAATATTCTTATAACTGACATCAAGGTTTTTCAAAATATGATTATAAAAGTTTTGAAAAAATCTTGATGTCAACTAAGAATGTTGAATAAAAAGTGGGCATTTCCATTAAAAATTTTAAAGTTAATTGTGAGAGTTCTTCCACATCGTATTCCAGATAAAATGGGTGTCATCGTTTGATGCATTTGTTGAAATCCTACAACTTTTGTGAAACATTTTTCCAATAAACCAATAATTTTTGAAGTAATTAGCTGTTTCAGAACTTTTAACACGCATACGTACGCGCGCACGCATGCACGCACGCATACATATAAAATAATATACGTATATAAATGTATTATTTTTTATATATGCACTTATATGTGCATAGAAATATAAAATAAATCTAAAACTGTTTTTGGCTTTATTATTCAATACAATTTTTTCCTTATCGTTATAAAGGTACTAAATAAATAAGTATTTAAATTAACACTCAACAAAACATACATTATATATTCCATTATATTCAATAATGAAATAAACAGATCTTTTTCGTAATGATATCAATGTTTTATATGCTATGTTAAAATTGTGGTAATAGAAAACTACAGATGATATAATATTTAATATATTTCTCACATTTTTGTGTCATATAATATTAACACCAATATTAAAACCCAATCAACTACATTCCATACACGCATTGATTTAAATAAAAAATCAAATATAGTATTAAAAAGTATATGTTCAATATATGATATATAGTTAATATATATTCATGATTGCACTATACAGATCTATAATACAATTAGAAAATTAAAATTATTTATAAATCATTATTAATCCTTATTAATAGATGATATGTTTTATTACTAATATATTATTAAGCCTTATTAATATAAAATATGTATTGTTACTAATACAATATGTGAATTACCTGTATGAAGAGATAAACTGAAAGAGTGGGACATGTACCGACCACGTAGTCGAGTCTTACATCCTTTCTAAGAAGCTGCTGTGAGGGAAAATTCGTATTCAATAACAAATAGTTGTAAAATTTGGCCAATATTGGAATATTTTTCCTTATTTCAAGATTACAACTGTCTTCAGTAAATATTTTAATATTATATAACTTGAATCTCAAATTGCTTTCTAAAATTTTGACTTGTTTTATAATAGATGTTATTATTTTGTCAATGAAATACGAAGTCTCCTTCGTACGAGATGAGAGAAGTGTCAATTGTCCATGTAGGTTCTCTTGTTGTAATATTAATGTGATGCAATCAATAAATTGATACAAAATTGAATCCATCTTGAGTAAAAATATCTTAAAAAATAGACGTTTTAGTAGCAAGTCTTAAATATAATAAAATATATAAACAATATTATATATAAAATATGTAAATATAATATAATAATGCATCTCCGCAAAAAAAATGATGCGAGTCGAAATTTTTTAAATACGTATGATGTGCGGATCTAAATATATCGATCTTTTGGAAAAGAGAAAGAAGCTGGATGATAATACTTTTCAATTTCGGCTATACCAAAACAGAATGGTACTTTTGTCTTAATTTTGTGTGTGTGTGTGTGTGTGTGTGTGTGTGTG